ACATAGTGTCCATAGGCTTTAAAATACCTTGCTGGAGGAGATTTAAAATTTTCTATATGTATCACATTCTTCAGTTCCCTATTTTGTACTTTTAAATTCAATGCTGTCCACAGAATATGCATTAAGCAGAAGAGTGTTTTATCACAGAAATGATGAAAAGCTAACTCAGTTGGAATTCTGTTTGACACAAATGAAGACATAGCTGCAGTAATAAATTTTTGTTTATTAAGACACAAATTTCAAATCTTACCTGGTGTAAATCAGTCTAACTCTACTGAATCCAGTCAGTGCCTCTGACCTACTCTATCTGTTTCAAATATGTAGCCTAGACTCTTACAATCTGCAAGTAGCTGCTGTAGAGACAAGCACAAGCTATTACTAATCAGATGGTTATTAGCAATTGCACAATTATCATGTGAAAATAATAAAATATATGTTTTCAAGCTTGAAAGCTTAAACTCACTAACACTGTTTGAATTCTTTTCTTCTCTGAACTGTTCCAGGCAGAGGGATATTTTATCAAACTGAAGCTCTGCGCAAATACGACTTTTTTTCCCATTTTTTCCAATGTAAAGCTGATGTTACTGAACTTTGCCAAATGAAAGTTAAACAGTACTAGGGCTAAAAGAGGATGCTTATCTCTGCTCTCTTATATCAGCAGGATATGGATCTCCAGTTTTCTAGGAGCTCTAAACTGACACTGAATTAAATAACTTTGTAGCATAGTAGTGGGATGTTTCAGACCTACTCGGATATACCAGATACGTCCAGGACAGACCAGGCTAGACAGCGCTTCTTGATTAGACAGTAGAAGGCCAGATGAAGCTCAGAGGAATGTTTCCTGCAGTATTCCTTGTGAAGTTTAATCATTCCTCACCCATCTGCTCAGGAGTGCCAGTAAACCTTATAGTTAAGCGAGCCAGAAGGATAGTAAACAGAGGTAAGCGTGAATAAAGGATGGCTAATTACACACTCACATCCTTGAAAATTCGTATTGCTATGAGGAAAGCAGATAGGAGCCAATGCTCTTAAACTACTTCTTCACTCTATTTTAATTACTGGGACAAAAATAGTCAGGAGCATTACAGAGCAAATCTCATGGTATCTCCAGGCTCACCGCAGGGAGTACAAAAAAGTACCATGAGAGGTACGAATAAGTCACACAACAGTTGTTAGTTTAAATGGTATTAAAATACAAAGCAAGTAGAACTTAATATTTGGTGCTCTCTCTTTAGCTAAGAAGTATTATATTCTATGCGTGATTCCATTGGGATTGGCATCAATAAAAGTATTAGAGGCTGGATCATAATGAAGGAACAGCAGATAAAAAAGAATAATCCTTTCATATCTATTTCAGCAGCCAAGCAGACTGGAAAGAATAGAAAAATACTTGCTGGTATTTAAGGTTTTTTATTCAAAACTGTTACTTCGTTAGGGCCTTACAACTGATGTACTGGAAAAGGGGACCTTTACATTACTGTTACCATTTATGATAAAAATGGTTCGTACACTTCCCAAAACTCAGTTACACGTCCCACAACGTGCAGAGGTAGGTAGGTAAGTCCCTGCCCAGAAAGTTTGCTCTCTGGGTTAAGACATGACAAGTGAGTGCAATTACAACTAAAGGACAAAAATAAAAAAAAAAAAAATAGCATAAACAGCACTGCACAATAACTTAAGTGAATTACCCCTGTTAGTTCTTTTCTTTGTCATAACATATTATACGCACTGTACCTCATCATGTAAGTTCCTCTCTTACAGGTGTTGCTATAGAAGGGTGCTTTTAGGAGAGACTGCACAAAGCTGTATTCGAGCTGCAGAAAGAACCTTCTTCCACCTTTGGCCACTTCATCCCTCAAGAAAACACACATTCATTGACAAAACTTCAGGACAGAAGGAATTTTCCTGACTGGTTTTGGTAACGGAGGGCAAAAGACTAACGTTTATCTACTCCAGCCAAATGGAATAAGCAGTCATCTTCCCACCTCCCCTGGCATATAAAGGAAAAACAGAAGTCAGCCTGGAAAAGAGACAGGGGTGTGAATGTGGTCTATAAAATGAAGAGGATCATGGAGAAGGCAAATGCAAAATGATTTGTTCATTTTATTCCACGCTAGTAACAGGGGACATGAAATGAAGCTGGCAGTTGCACACCTCAAGACAAACCAAAGGAGATGATTCTTCTCACAGTTGCATAATTGCAATGTGCAGCTGTTTGATAGGGGATGCTGGGTGTGCTAGAAGTGTGCATTAGTTCAGGGACAGCTTGGACAAGTTCATGAAAGAGAAATTCTCAAGAACTTCTAAGGGATGGAAAGTCAGCACTTTGTGGCTTGCTACTTCCCGCATGGGTCCCAAATAATACTGAAGTAGTTAACCCCATTAAAGTGAGTTTTCTAGAAGCTGACACAGAAGTGCTGATATCTAACAGTGCTGCTGAGCTACAAGCTTTCCTAATATTAGTAAACTGGCACAAAAAAACCATTTCATGCTTGTCTGCTGGAGTAAATCCTCCAACTATTTTGTTACATATATGAAGATGCCTTGCTCTCCCAGTAACCTTGTCTTAAACCCTGGAGGAGACCTGTGGTGTCTCGTTGACTGCTGAAAGGCAGCGTGAACGTCACTACATAATCACTCCATGTGTTGTGAGAAAAGCCTAGAGAAGTTAAGCTCCAACTGATGTTCAATACTAGCTAGAATGATGATTTAGAAGAATTGCATAGTACACGTCTGCATCTAGGATGTGAGACAATGATGTTCTCATCATAGGTAAAATCAAAAGCCCTTAAATATCTTGTCATTCTAATTTTAACTTGGCAAAGTCACTGAATCTTTTAAGTGATCTGAAATCTTCCCTGCCAGACTGCTGTTGAAGTCCATGTTGCAGCAGAGGGTTGAGGTATAGTTTAGGACTATAATACCAGGTTCCAGAAAGGCTTCTTAATGTAATGGGTAATTCTGATTTCTTGAGCTCCCCAGAGAACGTATGCACCAAAATACTCTCTATAGGTAAAATCTATGAATTCAAATTAACGAGAATAATTTACTGAGTCAACTAGGTTAATTTAAAAGTTTGAGTGGCCTGCCTCTGCAGTAAACTCTCCTTCTGAAGTGGGAAGAAATTGTGAGGATAGAATGAAGTGAGGGTTTGGTCCAATATGATAAATAATAGAATTAAATCAGAAGCAGGTAATGTCAATTAGATACTAATTTTCTGTGGGGCCCTTAAATTCTAGTGAATCAGCCCTTCTGAGTTTGTCTATAAATGCTTAGACATATAAAAAACCCAAGCATCCACTCCTTTTGAATGTGATACTCTATCATAGATCTGAGCACCCAATCACTAGATCTGAGTATACCATATACTGTAGTATCAGAGCTCTGAGCACCTGTAACTGTCACTGAATCCAGTTTTGTACAGGATGACCTAGGATAACTTGGAAGCAGATTTTTTTTGAGGCTTTTGTTTCACCATTTCTTCCAAACACCTGGTAAGGATTTTCATTTGCTGAATTCTATTGGTGACTGGTTAACTGACCAATTTGCACCCTAACAACAGTCTTTAAATATGTGAGCATAAGAGAACTTAAATGAATTTTAATGTGAATAATTCAACACTTTGCTGGACTAACTTAGTCCTGAAGAAATGAAAAAAACAAACTCCCTGAGCTACATACTAACCTCCCTTCTTAATTTTCTGCTAGGGTTACAGAGCACAGAGATGGAGGATCTACTTGCTTCTAGAATCTGTATCTGAAGTAATTAACCTTTCAAGGCTAGCTAAGCAAAAAAAAAAAAAAAAAACCCCGGAAAAGTTTTTTTA